CTGACATCCGCCACTCTTCACTCACTCATTTACGAGTTTTTCGATATGGTCGTGAGAACCCCTCCCCAGAGAGGAACGTCTTGTCCGTCACTGAAAGAAGTTCCCGTCATCCGTTACAATGTTCAATCACTTTAGTCGTGAGACGTAAAACGAGAACAGCCAGCGTAACGCAGCTCCGGAATGTAACAGGTGTTATTTGCGTGTGCCCGGTTAATCTCTGGCTCTGGCTTCCATAGGGATATAGGTCTCGCCGGGGTGGCTCATTGAAGACTTTCAAAGCTTAGCTATCACGCTTATTCACCTCTATGAAGCCATGTGTATATGCTACAGGAAGCACATATTCACGGCATGGCTTAGCTACCTGCGCTTGCAATTAGTGAAGTGGCTTCTTGCTTGGGAACAAGAAAAAAAATGAAGGCAAAACACTTCAAAGAAGTTTGCATGGGCTTCGCCATTCGCCTCTTCTGGCAAAAATTTTTGTGTAAATCAAATACTTATACTTAAAGTATGATCCCCTGTTACACTAACATTTGAAGCAGCAATTTCAGTGGGTTTGGTTCTTTTATGAGGTGTAATGGATGGAAGAAAGGATGAAATAAGTTTTTCAGGCTCTTACTAATTCAGTTAATTGAGACTTTCTCTTCATTCTACATTTTACTTATGGTAAACGAAATAATCCTTCACATTCTTTGTGTCTTTTGAGTGGGCGGGAGAAAATCGTGTAGTACACGCTTATGATTGGTTACTGTGAGCAACCCACTAGTGGGAGACTTTACCGATACGCCTGCATTCCTACAGTAACCATTGATGGCGCTGAGCTTGTTTGATTTGAATGTAAAGTGGCATTCATTTTGCCATAGGCGAGTAATCTTCGGAGTATTCAAATTGCTGGTTAAAAACCACAGAGATTTTGGCTACTGGCTAGAAGTCTATTTGAGGATCCTACTCACACCGATTGCTTTCGTAACTGTCTCTCTGGTCCAACAGTCATCAATGAAAACTTAATAAGAAAACTCTGAAAATTAGAAGATTTTCATTCTTATGAGTTGCTACAGTACGATAGATACGTCAGTGCAGCACAGGTACCGTAAGGCGCCTAAAAACGCTTTCGCTTTTTGTGACAATGGTGAAGGCCGCGCGGCTGAATGACAAATGCATCTGAAAGCCTCAATTTTGGTTGAAATCAAAGAGTAATTGTAATTACAGCTGGATCCCGTGATTTACGATTTCTTTCTTCAGGTCTCTTGGACGCATCTCTTCGTTCACATCGTGTTCAAGCATGCGACGGCGAGAAAGTTACATTACATTGCCCACGGAACACGCATATCATGATCGAAACCGGGTAGCTTATACTGTCAAGTAAAGTAAAATTCCGCAGTAAATCAGGTATCTTCACTTTAATCACACGTGGCCAGAGTATCAGATGAGATGAACAATTATGCCGAGGTTCATAGAAAGCCGTACGTGGATGTTATCAGATGAGTAATCGATAAGGAAGTATACTAACTGAAAAGAGGTCTGGCTTTTACGTAAACCCTATTCGGATCTCTCCAAGTTTTTTTATAGTTGCAAGGAAGGGATGAGGCCAAAATCTCAGGCGTTCTAGGTTTGGGACATGCAGGATACACCTTCAATCCTTTTGCCATAGGTAGTAGAGGTAATCATATCAAAGATAGTTATGGTCCTGTACGCATTCTTAAAGAGCTCAATTGAATGAATCGATACGCCTGGATGAACTTTCTTTCCCTACTCGTACATTTCTATTTGGCTATCGGTCTACTGGCTACTGCGTAGCGTCCAGAGTTAGTACTCAGGTAACCCAGTTTGACTACCACAATCCTTAAGGGGCTAGTTGCGATTTTGGGTCTCGGATCTACTCTTTCAAGCTTTCCTATGAATAAATGACGGGCTCGGAACGTGTGTCTCGAGGTGATCGTACAGGCCGTAAACAGAACTGCATGCCCATAAACTTTACTCTGCATGGTTGGATCCATTTTGCACTCCTTTACATAAACTTCCATTAATCCCTTATGAGTTGTGAGCAGTAACTCTCATTGTAGTAGCATTACTATTCCGCAATCAACCACGGAATCGCGCTGGCGATTCATTTAGTTAATGCGTGCACCTGGCCTGAGATCCTCTTTGCGGTTAAGAGTACTTGCATACCACTTCATCAATATGAGAAATTGAGCCGTACTGCCGCCGAATGGCACGGAAACGTTTCGTTTAGGGGTTTTTCCTGCTCAATCAGAAAACCATTCATTCAGTGAAGTGCTTTTTTTCAGTTTCTATGGACGCGTAGTACCCGAGTCGGACTTATGCCCCGGTCGGGTGCCAGGGCGATTGGGTTACGATGCCACTTGTGATGTCATTCAAGCGAAATCGGTAAGAGCGTTGTTGGCGAAAAACGGCTACTTGTTTGTTTTGGTTGCAGCAAGCAATTCTTATAGTTTTGAAGGCATGGCCTTCGGATTGCGCCGTGCTCTAGTAAAACACTGGCGATCTAATGGTGATTGAAAGGTATTTGGTAGAACTGAGCGATAATTTGCTCTGATAAGTAGTATTCACATACTCTAGGGATATTTAGGATGAATACTCTGTTGAAAAATTGCAAAAGCCGATAAGGAGAGTTGCTTTTTCTGGGTGTTACAGCCACAATGTTACAGATTAGTGCATGTCATACATTTGGTTATATTGAACTATTTACCTGAACAGCGTTATTTGAGAAGATAATTAAGGGGGTAGTAATCGCTTTTCCTCCCTTTTCCTATCCTTACTTTCCCTCTCAATAATTCATTTCTACAATGTTCGTTATTCCTGGCCGAGGAAGTATGCAATCGGTCGCCGGCGGCCAGAAGAGGGAGGAGTTCCTGTTGAATGGCTTGCGATTAGCTGGCCATTTCCTAACCTTTTCATGAAAAGATTTCGAGCGCAAATTCAATGGATATGCTGTCTATACTACCCTAATCGGGACTGCATTGCGTACATAATGCGTTGACATACTCCTAGGTTACTACGAATTCCACCTAGCAACATCAATGGGTGAGGGGTAAATGGGAACGACATCTTGGTTGTAGCTCAGTAGACCCGTAGCTATTAATGCCGTTCCATCCCTCCGGGATCCGTTAGTTGGTAATATAAATTTGGTCGAAGCGGAAGAAGTCGTCCAAGTTTATAGCTGAGCAATTCTCTAAAGTTCTTCGGAATCTTCTGGAATTTCAGTACACTGAGGTAGTAGCCGTTGCTTGTGAAAGAAACAGCCATCGATACTAACAGGAAGGACGTCTTTTATTCCCTTAGGGGCATGTCATGATCGTTCTGAAGGTTCTTCTGAAAGTTGGAGCCATGGCGCACTCCAATACTACATCAAAAGCTCCGGCAGTTATTTCTGGAAAGGACAACATTCTTCACAGAGCCGATTCTAGCGTACAATATTCCGGGAAAAAAGTTTGATTAAGAATGCAGTTCCGTGTCGTGGATGACGAATGATCCTATAGAGCTTTTTCCATCATCTTAAGAATAATTGCCCCGCGGGTAGAGAGCTATTTGAAACCCTGCGCCGCGCTAACCAAAATTGCTTCATAGGTCTTCTTCAGCTCGTGGCATTTACGTTAAGATGCCCTTCGACGTTTTTCTAGTGTCTTAGCTGCTCGAAGATCGTCTGTTTGCCTGAGTAGCTTGGTATCGTTTGGTGAAGGTGTTGTGACGGGAGGTGTTTTTTTAAAAATCACGGCGTGAAAAAGCAGCAAAGTAGATTGAATGCAGTGAAAAGAAAAAGCTCCCACGGCGGAAATTATTGTTACCATTGTCAGACGTGGCGGACTTAACATTGGAAGTCGTTAAAAAAGGCTATAGAATTCTGAAGGAATCACCACTATGCCTTTTTCTTGTAGCTGGCACGACCCTCTTTGACTCCTCCTTGAAAGTTACAGGAAGGTCCAATTAGTTTAATACCTTTCGGGAATGTATGGTAGCCTCGAAGTGGCTGAATAATCGTTTTTCCTGAAGTTTCTATTTTTGAGAAAAAATTTAAAAGGAAGATGTAAATATGATACAATGGGTATGGCCGATCAATTCTGATAAATACAGATTTACCGAGAGGGATTAACTGGGTTTGAGAGTGGTAGGGTTTAGGGATAGCTAGTGGTAAGATACGATAAGACCGGGACTGTCTAGGCGGCATTAAGTTTCAGGAAAGTCCCAAACAGGAAGAATACATGCCACATATGATGCTGCCATGCCTATCTATACTGAATTGTAGAACTTGTTCAGTCAGCGGATAACTTAGTTTCTTCCCGAAATTCAGGGATTTGGTAGGACAACGACGAGCTAGTGGCTGTCATTGTATCACAATTTCGTTGATGGTATTCTTTGATAATGACGACCTGTCAATGATGCTGACCATTTTTAGCGCCTTTCGGAGTTGTGTGATAAGAAACGCAAGTGCACAGTCTACGTGGACACGACCACGTTCGAAGATGATCCATGTCCGACGACATCGAAGTATCTCCAGATGAGCTATAAATGTCGTCCGAGTGAGTTCGATTTCCGAATTTTCTCTTACCGGCTCATTACCCTTCCGTGACAACTGGCTGTCAAGATGGTTATCTTTCGACATTCACCAACACTCCAGTACCCATTATTAATGGGATCTCGTAATTGATCTCGATTAATTGAATTGCAACATCCGGCTAGGGCCCAATTAAAGTTGAGTCATAGGCGGCAAGGGAATGGCATCAGCAGTGGTCTGTAAGAATCCGATAAGGCTGTTCAAATTAGGGGACTTGTTTTAATTTGATTTCCTTTCGTGATTGGGAGGATGCGGCTACCAACTCATTGTTTGCGTTAGTCGGAGTATCCGCCTGAGAGAGTCTTCATTTTTGGATTGGAAAGGGCTCCCAAATTATCGGCAGCCTCATAAGTTGGTTGAAAATGAAAAGTGCTCTTTTGCGATGTTTCTGAATATTTTGGAGCCGTTGTTAGCTTTAAAATGTTAATTTTTGAAAACGAAATTGCAAAAAAATGAATATTTTGGAAGGGTTTGAGTGGGTGTTCATGTGGATAGATGAGAGAGGAAGCGTTCTGGCTCGGAAGCAGTAATCCATGATGTTGAATAAACTTCTTTGTTGATTCCTACTATTATAGACATTTCCCACAGAATATTTCTCCACCGGAAGTGGGAAAAGCGTTTGTGAGAGTGAGGAGCCGCTTTTTGACACCTCATTCATCCCATGCCATCGATCATGACTTTTTCCCAAACGATTTCTTTCAACTATACAATCCGATTGTCGAGATTTTTCAGTTCTCTTCGATGGCGAGTCCTTCTGCGAGGGAGCTGAGATGCACTTGGAATGTCGTGAAGGACGTCGATTGGCAATCTATTCGGCTACGTACGGTAGAAGCAGTCGCACTCAGGCAGCCCACTGTACAGCTCCGGTACATTTCGTTAAAGGTAAGTGCCTTCTTGCCAGACCTGAACTGGGGATCCAAAGTAATAGAGATCAACTGGTATTTGAAAGTTTCCAACTGACATTTTCTAAGCTCCGAGATGTGGTTGAGTAGGCTACTCTACTGCTTCGGCACGCCGACTCGATTCAATAGTAAGGGAGATCAGCACCTCTGAGCTTAGGGGATTGTTGAGTGACAGTTTATGTGCAATGACATTGACGGCAATTTGCCTACACACCGATGATTTGCCGCTCTCACCCTGCCAATATACGATCGACCCCTTTCTTCATGTCACATCTAACACCACCTGTCGCTTCTCAAATCGCCGCCGCGGTCGATGAGTTTCTGGCGTGAATCTGCTGTCACCTGCTTACGCAAGAGGTATAATAATTTGATGTGGAAAGGAATGGAAGGACATAGGGACATTCCGGACGATTCAGCCAGCACGTGAACAGAGCCAGAACCCTTCGGAAGGATGACTAAATTTTCATAGTCTCAGATTTGCCAAGAGAGAATTAATTGCTCGCTTTCCCGCGTTTTCTTTTACCACGATATATCTAAGCGTTTTCCCATTATAGACCACCTGCACCAGTCCTGAACACGTTATGGTTGCCATAAAAAAGTCCTTGTCTTGCTCATTGGCGAGAATTTGGATGAATAAGGACAAAAACAGAAAAATAATGATACAAAATAGTAAGAACTGAAGGAAGTGGAAAAATTAGGGCTAGATTACCAAAGTCGCTCTGTAATGTGGAACTACAACGATTCTTCATCCAATTTCCCGGGAAATTCTGGAGAGTTGCTGGAGCTCAGTGGCATGAGGTGGGGCTATTGTTAACCTTGTTAACTGCCTACCTCAGGTTGAGGTTTCTTACTTATATGGTGGATTCGTCTAGTATGCCTCCCACAGTTGGTAGCAGATTGTTTTAGTAGCCTAAAAGAACTTGTGTTTGCAGACCTCAGAGCAGCTCGCTATCATTCTTGTGTGAGTCTAATTACTCCTTAGTCACTGATAAGTGTCAAGTACTCATCAAACACCTCCCTTCAGACCAAGTTTGACGCGTCGTCCTCTTGATTACTCTTATGCGTTCTATTTTTACATTATAGGAATTCTTTTCTTCTCCCACCACCTGCGGCAGACTGTAGAAGCTTTGTGCTTGTAGAGCTGTAATTCAAATCAACATAAATGGCTCTACTTAATGGACAGCCACGCGGCTAATTGTAAGTAGTAAGGGCTTTTGCCCTTATTACTTACAGTTATAGTTATGTGGTATCCATTTGTAGCAAAAGGAATTCTCTT